CAAGCATTTATTTTTGCTGACATGAGTAAAATTTCAAAAATTTGTGCCAAATTCATCGTGAATTGATAAAACAACTATGTAATCTGTGCTAAAACAATTTTTCTCTAAATCTTTTGACATAAAGCATTACTTTCAACTAAATAAAATTTTGAAATGGCTTTGTAGCATGTCATTAGCTTCAGTTAATTAGTTAAAATATCAGTTCTTAATTCTCCAGATTTAAACCTTGAATGATTGATTTTATCATGGAAAGCCTCTCAATTAATCCTAAGAATTTATCAATTTAGACAATAATTTGTACCGTTACATTCCTAGAAACTTGCAGATTCTGACAATAAAGGAAATTACAAGTGACTTAAGATCATTTTGAAAATGTTTGGTTATTCTTGATTTTGGAGTATCAAAGTCAGTTTGAACAATATATTGAAGAGGCAAATTTGATTACATGTTACAATTTGTTCAAATATTAAATGTACAAGAGTTGATCGAGCAAACTATTGGATCAGTGTTGTAGTTGTATCTTTCCTGGAGATAATCTTTAAATCTTGATTGATTGTGATTAAATTTTCTTCTGCACTTTATAGTTTGGATTTTTGTATAAGCCTTTTGGCACGTGTGTGTGTGTGTGTGTGTGTGTATGACTCTGTAAACTATTTGAATATATGCCACAATCAAATCTGATTTAAATATTTTCTCATCTGCACACTCAATACCTTCCCCATTACTAAGTGTTCACTGTCAATTTTGCCTGTTGCTTCATTTAGCCACAAAATTGCATCCAGTTTTATCCCTCCTTGAGAATTTATTGGTGAGTAGACAATGTGATATCATTTATCTGACACCAGTGAGAATGGATCTTCATTCAACTAATAAATTAGCTTATTGCAAATATATAATTGGAATAGCTAATGATAGATTCTCAGTTGACTCCCTAACTATCTATCCATCCTGAGGTGTTAGATTTCATTAATACATGATTGCTTACAGTCTCTTAAAAATCACATTTCAAACTAAGACTTAATTTTAATCAGCCCTTTTGAGCATCTTAATTACTGGAATTATGCAAAAGTGCACTTAAGTGTGATGGTTTACTCGTTTTAAAAAAAAAAGAAAAAAATTGCTGTAGCAGTTGATTTAGAGAAATGGAGATTGAGCTTAGAACAATTTTTGAGTAATTGATAAATGGATGTATTACTGTCAAGTAATTTTACTAAACTTTCTAATTTCAAAATAAAATTAGTCATTTTTAGCTTTGCATGTAATGATTTTAAAGATTTTTCTTATTTTCAAGAGACTAGATCTATATCAAATTAGCCATATGCATGAGCAACATTAAAATTTACAGCTTTCTATAGTAAAAGTAAAATGACTTCAACTATTTGTATCCAATTTCCTTGAAGGTGTGCACATGGCAATTAGCTGTGTCATCCAGCTTATAGAGATATTCTTTTTCCCTATTAGAGATGCTATTAAAGCTTCTGCAGGTAGTTTTTTTAACTTAATTAGTTGTAAGTTAGCTGTTATAAATGAGATTCTTTTTCTATGCTGATAAAGTGCATACAAAATTGCATTATGGCATAGTTCAAGATGCCTTCAGCTTCTATTGCAATTAATTTGATAATTGTAATTCTATACACAATAGAAAAGCTATCTTACCATTGAACTGGAATCAGACTACTCTAGAACTAGAGCATATCAATTTGAGTACTCAAGATTTTTTTTTTTTTTTTTTTAAAGCCTTTGAAAATTTGATATATGAAGATATGAAGTGTTTAGCTCGGTTTTTCTACTCCAAATAGGTACTTTACACTTAATTTTGTGTGGAGTTAGATTTAATTTCTTTCTAGGTCAAAACTCAACATTAATACAGTTTGTATCAGTTTAATATTTGTAGTCAGAAAAAAAAAAAAATTTTCTCTTGGCACTGGTATTAATGTATGTTTTCTTGACAGATTTTAATGAATCTGATTATCAAGTTCATAAAATATGTAAACAAATTCCAAGGTAATATTTATCAATAACTACAAAAAATATTTTTTTGAAATTATAAAAATGTGAAGATTTAAATAAACTAATAATTTTAAAATTTTTTAAAAATGCTTTTTTCCTCACCACATAAATTTTAAGATAATTTGAAAACATTTTTTCCATTCTTGAGAATTGACAACAAATGTTAAAGACTGTTTTTGATGCTTTTGTCACTTCTCGGAGAATGCATGAAAATGTTTTGGGTTTTAAAATTCTAGAAATAGCTTTTTAAAAACCGTGAAAATTATGAAGGAGCTATGTAGTAATAGTAATACCAAAAGGCACACTCTCTTGTACTAATAAGCTGAAGACAAGTCTTGTTTATTTGTTTCAACCATAAATTTTCAGGGTGGGGGACCTTTTGAGAACATTTCAAATTTAGCAAACAAAATTCTTTGTACATTTTCTGCTGATTATCTACCTGAACACATAACTTGAAAATGGATTTTTCTTTTTAATACTTAGTGTATACTTTCTTTCTATATTAAGCATAGCTTATGTTGTTTCGGCCACAACTTAGAAATTTACAGTTGCCTATTGCAACTGTTTGTGTCGCTGACTTATTTTTATTAGCATTAAAACTTGTGCTACATTCTGATTAGGGGTTTATTATATAATGGGGGAGGTTATTGAAAAAATGTTGACCTTTTTATATATATATATAACTGAAATCTTTCAGTTGGGCTGAAAATTTACCAGCACTTTCAAGTATCCATAATAACCAGAAACTGTTAGCAAGTTTTTTCCTATTACAGAATTCGAGCTGATAGTCTCAAATTATGAAAGAGTGAATTTTTATTCACTAAGCGTCTACAGGATAGTACAATGTCTCCCACCCCCACCTGGCTTAAAAGGTGCCTGTATATGGTATTTCATCTACGAGTCTTAATATGCCCCCATTTTTCATGTTGTTGGCTAGTTTAACAAACATTAATCAGACAACTTTGTATGCAAAAAAATAAATAAAATAAAACGGATCAAGATGCAAACAATTTATTTTCAGAAATAACATTTATCCTTGATGTCTGGTCAGGTGTACATACATAACTTTTTCTCAAGAAGACTACTTTGAGTTTATTTACTAATTGGAACTTGGACTATACTGCAGTTATCAGAAAGAAAAGAAAAAAAAATGACAATGAGGTAAGAAAGGTTGAAAATTTTCAGATGAAATTGAAGGATTCATTAGTTTTAAATAAATATTAAAGCCAAAAGGTAACTTTAAATGAAACGGGAGGTTCTTGGGAGAGTCGGATATGAATGGAATTTCTGAGAACTGCTGATAAACGAGACTTCATTTAATGTACAACTCAGCAATAACAAAAATCTCCCAAGATCTTTAGAAACCAAATCTACTTTCTTTGTATTACAACCAAAAATGAGATGTGAAAATTTTTCTAAATTCCATATATCAAAAACAGATTACATCCTTTAACAGTCCTCATTCCAATGCAATTTGCCAAATGTCACAAATTCTAATTTCTTTGCCTTAAATGACATTGTAAAAGCAAAAAATTTCCTTTTTTAAATGTTTAGGCTCAGAATCTGATTTTTAAGTCTTATCACAAAACCTGTAATTTTTTTTACCAATCTGTATTCAGTGCCTTTCCTAAAAGGATCAAAGATTATGTATCTCTTTATATAGCTTTTTTTTTTTTTTTTTTTTTAATGACCAGTAAGGAACTGCAAAAGTCCATAGATCTTCCAGCAATAAGTTCAGTTAACTTTAATAATAATCACCAGTAAATAATGGTAATAAAAAAGAAATGGGACACCTGGTTAGATTAAATAACAATATTGGATCAAAATTTTGCTGAGGTACATGTATAAGGCATTTCTTTAATCACACATTTTTCTTTGTGGAAACAATTGAAGGAATGAGGTTCTGTACAAAATATGGTAATGAGAGCAACTTAACCATTAAAGTCTGTCTTTACAAAAATGTTTAAATCTGAGAAGAATACCTCAACATTTCTTTGAATAAGTGAGCACCTGCTGAGATGAGAAACAATGATGCCTAAAATGGGGGGGGTGAATTAAGAAAGCAAAAAAATGAATGCATTTTTTTTTTTATACAAAACTTGACTAGTGATAGATTTTTAACTTGTGGAAAGTTAGAAAAAAAAAAACATGGCCCTGAGACAATAGAAATCTGAACTAAACTGAAGAAGTGTTGCACAATGTCATTGTTTAACTGATAATAAAGAGAAAAGATTTGCAGAATAAAATGCAACAGAAAAGTCTCAATGTTTCATGGAACTAAATTTGATTTTATTTCATGTCAACAACTTCTTCATATGAAATCTTTAACAAAAACATTTTCCAATTGCAACAGTTCACAGACCATTTTGATCAAATCATGAACAAATAGAAAAACTATAATCACATTTTACAGAATAAAATTTTAACAAACACTCGGATGTAAAAATTTGTTAAAAAAAAAAAATTACATTTCTTGGGTGCATTAATGTGAAAACTCTGGGCTAAGGAAAGCTTGGATATTTCCACTTGAAGCTAGAATTAAATTGTACATGATTAAACTGTTCAAAGAAGTCTTACTGCTGATTGGTCTCTTCTGTCTTTTGGTCAATCTTAACACCATGTCATGGACAAATTTTTCTGAAGCAGTTTCAATGAGGATTGCACTTATCTGGTTACTTCCTCTAACTTCCAATAATAAACTTATTGATCTCTACATTTCAACTCACTTCCTTGTAGATGAGAAGAGAACATTCCTCACTGCAACTTATTCCTTAATATTCTAATGAAAACAAAACAACTTGTCTTTGATAGAGTTCCATTATTTAGAGTCTATTCAAAAAGTGACCTGGTTACATAACAGACTGACCACTGGTCAGTATCACCACAGGAGAAAAGCAACAGTAAGATAACTTGTATAAAAAAAAAAAAATAGAACCTGGTGTGTTCACTAAATATATCATTTTGTATAAAATATGTGTGGCTAGAAAAGATCAGTGTAGTAGGCGTGGAATGACAGTAAATGGAATGATTGGGCTATTGGCTTCCAGATCCATTGCAAACTGTATGCAATCACTAGCGGCTTCATATTGACCAAGACAATGGAGCACTTTGCCTAGACAGTACCTGAAAGAAGAAAAAGGAAATGACAACAAAAAACTTGAAAGTATAAACAGTTCTTTAAAAGTTCATTTTTGAATCTTGAAAAATTTAAATAGAATTAATTATATCCAATCTTAATTGAAAATTTCGGTAAGAAATTAAATTCAACATATTGTTTGACTTTCATGACTATTAACTTAGCGATAATGCAAACAAAAAAAAGATCAAATCATCTAGTGATTGTTTTAAAACATTTTTTTTTATAATTCATAAAGTACTGATTTTTCTATTAATAGAATTTTGTCTTTGTAAGGAAAGAAGCCTAATTGAAAAACTGCTAAGACCAAAACAATATATGGTCATTATTTAATCTACATAACTTCTGCACATGTCTTAGTTAATATGCTTTAAAATTTAAGAAAACTAAGTGATATAAGAGTTTGAAAACTGAAATTAGTCCTCAAATAGTATAAATCAATTATTATCTTGGAAAAATGAGTTCTGTCAAGTTGCTTGCTAAAAATTATCTTGGAAGCTGATAAGAAATGTGAAATATACTATTAAACTATGCAAAATAATAGTAAGTTTACATGTGAGGTGAGAATTATTTGATGTTATTTTGGTGTGAGTCTCATTTAACTGCCAAAACAGTTTTCAAAGTAGAAAAGAATCTTGACACTGAATCATCTTTAGGTGGTTCTAGACTTACAAAAGCCTCAATTTGAATAATTAAAGGAAACTAATATTCCTTATTTAAAATTCATTTATACAAATTAAAATTTGACACTGGTATTTACAACATTAACACATTTCATAGTTTTTAATATATCAAAATCTGTTTCTGATTTATGTATAGTCAATTTCAAATAAATAAGAATTTTATCCAATATTTCTATTAAATAATGTATTTAATTCTTCAGAAATGTAATTACCAAATGTATTTGATGTTTTAATAAACAGAAATAACCTGTATTTTTAGTAATAACCTTTTTAAAAAACATTCATTACTTGAGGTTCTTTTAGATTTTCTTTATTACATTCCTTTTTCATGGTGACTAAAATTATCAAAATTGTTAGGTACTTTGAAAGGTTAGACAATTTGGAACTACTTAAAGATATTGTCCAACTGAGTGTGGATAACTGTTCAACACTCAAAAAAGAAAAAGAATTAGTCTTTTTCTCAGTAGGAAGGACATTTTAGTTTACAAATCACTATCAAAGGGTAAAGAATAGATTTCAATTTAAAAAAATATTGTTTAAAAGTGAAAGGTGGGGGGGGCTTAAATAGAGTGGCAGGATTTTTCATTTACACCAAAGGTCACCCCCCCTCTCCTTTTTCTTTAATGGTTCTTTTGTGATGAAAGTCAAAAGAAATATCCACTTGATTACAAGTTGTATTAGATGACCAGCTGTTTCCTCTGCATCCATTTCCCTAAGCAAAATAACAATGTATAAAGAGTACACATTGAAAGCCTCAAATTTTGGGGTATTTTTTAGATGTAAAATCAGGAGATATTATCTTGAGTAGAAATGCTTATAACAAGATTCTCTTACTTTCCACATAGGAGATATATTTTTGTTATATCTGCTGCTGTGGCAGATTTTGTCTGTCATTATTAACCCCCACCCCCACAATAATCAAGTGTAAAACATCCCAACCAAAAGTCCAGAATCTGTCATCTCTGCCAGGTGAACAAGATGGAACCTGTTTGGCACAGGGTCAGAGATAACCTGCTTTAAATGGATCTAGTTTGACTAGTTACAAAACATGGCAAATTCAAAATGAAACACCATAGAATTCAAATGACCCAATTTTATCAAAGACAATCATCCATAAAACCAGTTCCTCTGTTGAACCTGTTGATCAAGCATCAAAATATTTCATTTGAATAATGAATTTCAGAAAAGGTAAAAGCACTCATGTCAGATATTTACCGTTTCTGAGCAATCATTATGAATTCAGTTAAAATTTTGAAAAGTAAATCAAACTTCATTTGAAATCTTTAAAAATCATCAATAAGTCTGAGAATAATGCTAAAGTTTCAAGCCTTACAGTAACGACATCATTTTCTTGAAAATCTTAGTATTTTCTGATTGTTTTCGGCAAAAAATTGATTTCTGAAGAGTCAATAATTACTCTTCAATCTAAAGCATAGGCAGATTAATTAATGCAAAATGTTTTGATTTTGTTTGTTTTACCTGTAGGCTTTTTGTAAAAATAGCTGCATATGTCAGATAAATTGCAGACATCAAGAGGTGTCTTTCCTATTTGTGTGAAGGGAAGATGTTTAAGGAAGAGATCTACAATTCTCTCTTTCTATGTTTTGTTCTTGTCCCTGCTTCTGGATATAAGGAATAAAGATCTTACTGAATCATCTCAAAAATAGGATAAAATAGAGGAGTGTTACATTAAGTCAAGGGAGATAAATGATAAAAACTAAAGTTGCGTGAAAGACTCAAGTATCATGTAACAATCAATTTCCAAGATAGGTCGACGTTAAATAATAAATTATTAGTGTAGATTTTTCTCTCATTTAAAAAAAATACTTGTTAAAAATAATTTATAACAAACTCCATTCTTTCATCCAATCAAAATATGTTTAAAATTCAAACGCAGGCGTTTATAAATTTGCATATGTAAATAATTAAAATTATTCAGTTAAAATAAACCGAATAAACGCGTCGAGTTTGAATAAATTCATAGAATTACATCAGTTATTCCTAATATTGATTATCTCCCTTTAATAGCCTTATAAACGCTAAATTCACCGTGAGTTGCTTTTTTAGTTTTTTAATCAATGATGAAATTGAAAATAAATGATTTCGCTAAAAACTTCTTCTGGTATTGCCTCAACCTAAACATTATGGAACCTCGGAGCAATTTTGTTTTTCGATTAAGAATTTTTTAATTTATATTCAAAAATTAATTAGGTTTCGTTTTTTAGTCCAAACTAGTCCCGCAAACAAAACAGTAAGAATCTGTAGTAATAACCAATGAAATATAGAAATTCTAAAAAAAAAAAAATCTCTTTTCACATTAATTGATGTTTTGACATTTTAAAAATTATTGTATCGAATCAAATTCAAATGTCTTCAATTGTTTATTTCCGTAACCACATTTTAAATGCAAACTTGCAATTTATAATTTGATAAATCAAAACGAAAAACTGATTTATCAAATTGTTGTTCAGGTTCTATATCCTATTAACACACAAATATATGTGTGTGGTCTTATGATAGATTAAGGCGTAAGGTGACAGTCACTGTACTGTGTTGATTTCTATGACAATTTATTTTAAATAAATTCACCTTGGTGGTCTAAGTTCAATAAGGGACATAACTCTGGTTAGATGATGTGATTTTACTGTAGATACCGCTAAAAATGAGCATACATGGCGAAAAAAATGTCCCCAAATCAATAAAAACCAAGTTTTATCGACAAAAGCTTTGTTATTAAGAGTAAAGACAAAGGGATAAATATTTTTTAGTCCTTTTTAGAACCTTCGAAATTGTTTTTCTGGTATTGACGGGTGACCATAATATAGGAAATTTGAGCGTTTTTTTGTTGTTTTTTTTTTTTTTCGGTGAAAGAGGACACATTGATTTGGAAATTCTTGCAAAGATCAAATAATTGTCGTATTTTAATTAAACTTACACGGATTTATTCACAAATGAATTAAATTATTTTAGAAATGCTCCCTTTTGAGAAAATCATGATAATTTTTTTTCTTCTTACATCTGTTACGCCCCATTTATTTAATTTTATGAAATTTTCTTTTTATAGAGCTTAATGTTTATAAGGACAAGTACGGAATTTAAATCACTTTTTTTTCCATTTTTTTTTTTTTTTTTTTTGTCAAGCAGGACCCACTGTTACAGAAAATCTTCTCTGAATCGTAAAATAAACAAATACAATAAAACTAAGACCTTATCTAATTAGAAAAACTTTTAATTATGGACACTGTTGTTGTCTTAAGAAAAAAAAAATTTTCCAATGAATAATGAATTTTTACAAGAACTGTTTTCATTTTCTTTTTAAATTTTAATTTAGAATAATTTATAAAGTTTTAAATCTTTTAAAATTCTGTATTCATTTGTAGAGTTTAGGTGATATCATTATCAAATAAAAACTATATTTACTAATCATAAATTGAAAAGTTTACTACAGTTCAGCAACCCCCAGTATTTTGTCTATATCTCCAAGATGAGGTATTATGATTACTTACATTATTTACATTATTCAGACTGTTATCCTCATCTTCATTGCCATTCACAAACGTTTCAGCTGTTGTACCTTCTTTAAGGACACATGGATAAAGGCGCTGGTTAGATTCAGTGACTAAACCCAAATAGTTAAGAGTTTAATACCAGGTTACTGAGAACCAAAACTTGGAGAATTGAGTTAAAGGGAAATAACTGAAACATCCAGAAGAGGCATGGCACATGGAGCTAGAACAATCTACCCCAGTGGACAAAATAACGGGTTCAGTTTGAAATTCCAATCACCTGAAGAAGGCCGGAGTATACAACGGCTGAAATGTTCTGAAGATGACGATAACCAGTATTTTAAAAAGAATTTAAAATTTTTTTTGTGTGCATGAACATGCCAATTTTTATAAGTACGGACAGCCATAAAAAATAATGAAGCTAATTAAAATGAATTTAAAATTTATTTGTAATTTTCTAACATTTTCTCAACAAGTGTCTTTGTAAATAAGACTTATAAAGCCAAAGTACCTAAAATTCAATAAAATGTTAGATTTTCTTAGAATATTTTCCTAAATTTTTAAGATTACTGGGTAGTTAAAAAATTATATAAAAAAGGCATTCATGTTGTATTTGTCAAGCCATTTTTACAGTTATGTGCTCTTTACTTAAAAATTGCCTAACATTAAGCTATCAGTAAATTTGTAAACATCTCATAAAAACACCCACCTCTGTGTTAACACAAAATGCTTTTCTGCAATATTTTAAACTAAAGTAACATTTGTTTTAATTCAGATTAATTAAACATTAAATCAGTT